GTATTGATTCTGTTAATGTTATCTAGCTAGCTAAGGAAAGTTGGAAAGGCAGATATGAAACTGTCTTCGCATCTTGATGTCAGTGATTTCAGCTTCTTTTAAAGCAAATCTGTATACTGGCAGTAATATGCTGGAAATTAAAGATATATGTTGAGTTTATAGGCTAGAGGGATGTGTAAAGAACTATATTTAACAATTTTATTTGTGAGTTATATAAAAAAGGGGAAAATGCAGTTTGTCACATTGTTTTAAGGAATGCTACAGGTTCAAATCTCTGTGACATGCTGGCGATTACCACAGACAATAATTTTGACTTGAAAAACTGGGTTGTTTTCTCCATTACATTGTATTATTTTTAGGTCTCCAAAAATGAGATTATTAAAAAATGGCTTTCTCCCTCAGTTTGTAGAAACAAGCAAAAACTCATGTTTACAATAATGCACTTACAGTACAATGGAAGTCTATGGAGAAAGGCATTCTGGAAAGCTTAAAAGCAGAGAAGTGCAGCACATATTTTTTTGTTAAAGCTCTTATGAAATCATCCGTACTAAAATGTATGCTATTTGTGCTGTAATATTGCCCAAATCATTTTAGTGGTGTCATCATGGTTCTAGGTGGGTGAATTTCTGTTATGCATTACAGATGTAATTCATGTGGGTGGATTTTTTGTAAACAAGTCCCTTTTCTAATGTATTATGCAAAAGTTACACTGCCTTTACATGGTGATGACTTGAAAAACTGGGTATAACTTTGCACAGACAAAGTTAGTAAGTGATTTGGTCATACGTCATGTTAGCAAGTACATGTACTGTGGGTATTTTATGTTTTATGTCAGTGGCTTGCCATTCGCATTAATAGTGTGATACAGTACATTTTGTCCATTTTTACACAGTTGAAATTTTTCTCTGCAGTAATTAACAGCATATGTTCCACGGTACTTCAGAAATAATGATATTACATAACATGACAAATGCTAAAAACTGAAAATTGTTTAACTGCTGTACAAAAACGATTTGACAAAACTTTGATTATCTTTTATGCAAATTGCTGACATTTCAGCCGCCATCTAGCGGATAAATTAAGCCTCCCACTGCCTTCAATTATGACATAAACATTCCTGCATAAATTATTATGCTTGTTCCCAATTACTTGTCACACTCATTATAAGAAAAGACTTTATCATAACAAAATTCATCAAGACCATGTTTAACGCCTCAACGGGGTTAACGCATGTTTTCCATAGGCAAGTTTTTACAGACAACAAGAGATATTCAAACAGACGACTGACTCTCACTTGCAGTGTGGGCAGCAGTGCTTTCAGCTAACATCTGTTCTCATCAAGACATTTAACTTTTTTCCAGCAAAAATATTTCAGAATTTGCCAGGTAAGAGTTTCACAAGTGCATACCAGATGGAGAAATGTGTTATCGCATTAATGAAACGGTTGAAGAACGTGAGTGGGGACAGTTCAACAAAAATGAAAACTCATTTACTCACCCTCATGTCATCACAAACCTGTATGATTTTCTTATGCATACCTATATTCAAATTACACAAATGATATAAGTGCTACAGCAAAGGCTGAAGAACATTGGAGTTGCCATTGACTTTTACTGTATGGAAAGAAACAAACATTTCAGGTTTGGAATGACATGAAGGTAGATAAATGATGGCAATTTTCATTTTTGAGTGGACTATCATTATCCAGTTGTGGTGTGCAGAAGAAGTAAATCATCATGCTGTAAAAAGAAAATCACTCTACCCCACCCCTTACCAAAAAGTATAGACTAAAAGTATACTTTCCTATTTTTAGTTTAAAAGAAGTATACTAATAGCACACTTGAATAAACTTCTTTTTCGTAAGGGACATGAACACATCTTGAATGTATTCACACACATGCACACATGTACAGGGTATGACCTCCAGCCACAAATACACAGCATACTTAAACTCTCATACAGCCCTATACATGTTCCTAACACACACACTCATAACAGAAACCCACAACAGGGGTTCAAGACTACAAGTTGTCAATCAGAGTAAGCTGCCAAACAGACATGGCAGCTGTGCAGTTAAAATGACAGATCTGGACCAAACAGAGCAAAAATATCAACATCTTACGGCTAAACGCTTTAGAAAACAACCTCAATTTAAACTTGATGGTTTCATGATAAACAAAGATATCACTCGATTGTTTACATCATGCTGCTATGATTCTTTCACAGATGTAGCTCTAAAACAAGCGAAAATGGTCAAGGAAAGGTTCATACAGAAATAAAAATGATCATTTCATCATTAACTCACCCTCATGTCAGCTGTAATACTGTCTTTATGGAATACTAAACAAGTTATTAGACAGAATGACAGTCTCAGTCACCATTCATTTTCATTTTAGAAATAAAGTCAAACCAGTGGAATGACATGAGGGCAAGTAAATTATTATTTATTTTTTATTGTTTTTACTATCCTTTGTGTCTAAATATTTTTAAACCACTGTAGACTATATGGCTATTGAGCAGGTGTTATGTAGTCATATTTGTGTATGTGTTCATCTAAGTGTATGTATTTTACATGCGTTTTGGCAGATGCGTGTTGTATTTTTGTATATTAGTGACTATTTTGATAAGCGTATATTGTATTTGTATGTACCTGCTTTCCATCAGCAGAAGCTGTAGAATCTCTCATGGCTCAGTACTTGTGTGGCCCAGTCAACAACAGCTGAACTTCACAAAACGACAGTGTGTCGCAAAGAAGCATGATTAATTAATCTGAAAAGCACAAAGAAAAAGATAAAAGTGTGTGTTTATCTTTTGGCGTTTGCCTAGACGAATATTGTGTAGTAGCTATTATCAAAATATTTTCACATCACGTCGTTTTATGTGACGATCAAATGCAATACAGCTGACAAGATCTTCAGCTTTACCTGGCAATCCTACGGTGGCCGAGAGAGCTCAACGTGCTGCAAATGAAAAAATCCATGCAAATAGAAAAACACCTGCAAATTAAGAAAACATCTTCATCAATTTGACAACACACGCGCTGCAAATTCTGACAACACAACCAAATACAGAAACGCGCTGCAAATTCTCACAACACAAACAAAGAAACGCGCTGCAAATACAAAACAAATAAACAAACAAAAAGAGAAACGTGCTGCAAATATGCACAGACCACATCAGAAATGTTTAGGCCCTCCAGGACCGAGTTTAGACAGCCCTGGTTTAAGGGAAGCACGTTTCTTTGTTTGTGTTGTGAGTATTTGCAGCGCATTTCTGTATTTGGTTGTGTTATCAGAATTTGCAGGGTGTAATTGATGAAGATGTTTTCTTAATTTGCAGGTGTTTTTTTTCCTATTTGGAAGGTTTTTTTTGTTTTTGTTTTTCATTTGCGCTCTCTCGGCCACCGACCGTACAATCCACTTATTTCCGAACAAAATGTGATTTAAAATATAGATGTCTCTTCTGGCTTGGTCGCTGCCACTCGAAAGCATTGAAGCAAATAATATCAAACAACAAGGTTGCGCTACAAACAATACCTTTTGACCAAATGACCAAATGACCATACCTATCTTTGGATCGAGGGCACACGCAAACTGTCTTAACGTCAATGAATCGTTGAATCATTGAATCGTTGATTTATTCAAAATAAACAATTAATTACACAAAGACATTAAAAAATAAATAGTACAGTGTGAATAGATTTTTAGAGTAATATTGAGTCAATATCATGCAAATTATTTGTAAACACTACAAAGCATGGTTTCTTTCCAGGGAATTTATATATATATATAATTTTATTTTTTTTTTATTTTTATTTTTTTTTCTACTGGCAAAAATTCTGAAAGAACAGGTGCCGATAGCCAAGTTTATTGGCAGTTGCTGATTGTTGCCCGATTGTTGCCACATGAACATCTCTTTTCCATGGATCTATGGAATGCCAAACAACAGCTCAGTGAATCATTCGGAATCATTTTCTGCACACTCCAACTTGAGAACAGAATCGTCTGAAGCGGTTTCTTACTCCTTAAAACAGTAACGACATACATTAACACACAGAACAAACAGAGCGCTGGATTAAGTGGATTTACCTGCAATCCATTGAAACCAAACCTGCAAATTCGTCCAATCGTTTGGCAGTTTCGCAGGCTTTAAATGAATGAATGAATAAATGACATTTCCAACCAAAAAGAGTATTTGATTAAATTACTGCAGTATTCATATTTAGAATGCATATCTAAATATAAATAGCTACTCTATAAAAAAAATTTCTGCTTGGTTTTGAGTAGTTGGTACCTTTGATGGCTTCATTTGAGTATGTTGCTCATCATTGGCTAAGAGTGTGTATGTCATTTTTGAAAACAATAGTTTGTCCTTGTGTCTTGTAACACAAAGCCTTGTCTTCTAAAACAATGTCTCGCTAATTTTTCAGCTGTTGAAGAAACTTTTTCAAAGCTTCTTCCTCTGTCTCTCACACAAACACCATCTCTTTTTCTCAAAGGAATAATGTACATCCATTTTTTTTTATTCAGTTATTGGCATTATTGCGCCATTTGAGTAATGATTATTGAAAGAGACTCAGAAGAGAGAGAAGGGTTCAACAGCATTCTGTTCTTCTCTGTCCTCCTGGATGCGTTTAGCTTCATGAGCTTAACAAATTCTCAACCCTCAGCACAGACACACTCTCTCATGAAGAGAATGTCATGCTGCGCTCAGCCCCTTACTGAGATCCTATTCAATAACGTCTCCAAATGCACGTTTCATAAGAAGGGATTTTGTACAGACAGCTATATAAGACACACACATTCACACTTGCTCTCTCCATTATAACAGTAGGCATTGAGACTGTTTCCCGTAGCAACGTGGCACAGACGAGAGAATAGTCTGAACTCTTTAGAGACTGACATACTCTCCCTCACACACACTTGCACATTAACCACCAAATATTTTGTTTACTTTTTATTATTATATTTATTATATTTTGTTTATTTAACACAGCATGCTAGACACAGGAAACACTGGGCTTAAGTACACGTCTTAACGAGGGGATAACAAGACACACCTGGACGCAATGAAACACAATAGGAACAGGAAGGAAACCAAATATGGGCATGTCACACACGAGGGAAAACTAGGTCATGGAAGGCACATGGGGAGAAAAACACAACACAGACAGTCCATATTTCTGACAGTTGCACTGAATGACATTTTAATGGTTGTCTTTTGTAAATCATGGCAAAAATGTATGATAAGTCATAATTTTTGCTCAGAAAAAAATGTAATTAAACAAAACACATTCTATTGTATGAAGAGAGAGGGAAAAAAATAAAGCTGTATTAGACTTTTATTGTTTTGATGCTTAAAAACCCATTTTTGTCTTTGACCCATACTGTATACTCACTCTCTGGATTAATTAAATTTTGTTTACAGTAAAAATGTGCAAGTAAATGTAAAAAAAAACTTGATGGATATTGTATCTCAATGACAAGTCAGCATGAAAATTGAATGGCTCATGAATATTAATTTGTTAACATTAAAGAATTCTAGAAGGAATAACAAGTAATGACAATGCAAGCTAATTAATATTCATAAGCCCATTCTTCATAAATTGACTGTCACTATAAAGCTGCTTTGAAACTATATGTACTGTATAAAGCGCTTTATTAATAAAGGTGACTTGACTTGACTTGATGTCAGCACTCCATTCTCTAAAACTTAATGCCACTGCTAAAAATATATATTTTGCTGGTTATGGTAAAGTGAATACTTGTATAATAAGATCATAAAAATTAATCTTGGTTTCAAATTAGTATTGGCCAACATAGCATGCTCATATGCACACTTTGAAAAATTATCTCATCATTTTTTGTTTTTTTTTCTTCCCAGTGTGCTATGATATGGGATGCACAAATTCTTATATCACATGGTATTTATGGATAACCTAAAATGCAAATTGGAATTCAGGGCATGTGCTGCAAGTGAGCAGCACAAAGTGTGTTTCTTACAACGTAGACATAGTGTGAGAATAAAAATAATTTCCTTAACACTTTTTCACAAACTGAAGTTTGATAAAGACCCTCACTTTGTATGCAAAGACCAGCTTCTTACAAAGGTATAGTATCCAGTTTAATTACCTTAATGACTGGAACAATCTCATGGGTGAGCGAGGTCAGAAAGACCTGTTTAACAGAGCAGATATAGTGCTGATCAGGCGCTGGTATAAAAACCCTAATCAGAGCATATCTTAAAGAAGTGAAATAAAACATGATATTACAGATCTTATGAAAACTTTGTGTTGGTTAATAATTCGTAGCCTTATGCTTGCGTAGGTTTGCACTACATTACTGTAATGTCAAAGCAATGTATGAAAAAAGTGAAAGGAAATTAATACTTTTATTCAACATTGCATTAAATTGATCAAAAGATAAGACTAGACAATATTTCTATTTCAAGTAAATGCTGAACTTTTGAACTTTCTTTTCACCAGAAAATCCAAAATGTTAGGCAGCGCTACTATTTTTAACATTGATAGCAATAAGAAATGTTTCATGATCACCTAAACAGTATGACTTTTGAAGGATCATGATGTGACACTTAACACTGGAGTAATAGCTGCAGAAAATTCAACTTTGCATCACAGGAATAAATACAGTTTAAATTATATTAAAATAGAAAACTGTTACTTTATATTGTAATAATATTTCAAAATATCACTGAATTTGATTGAATAAATGCAGCCTTGATGAGCATAACAGACTTCTTTCAGAATCATTAATATTCGGTGATATTCAGTGAGTTAAAGGTGTGACAACTAGCCTCATTATTCCCTATCCCACAGTGCTGCAGTTAAATCAGGCCAATGACAAAGTGCTTTTCAGATTAATTCAGATTAACTCATTAGAACAACACTTCAGAAAGGAGTGTCAGGTCATCAAACGAAGAGGAGAAGAGGGAATCACTTTCGGTTCATTTCCCTTCTCTTTTTTCCCCCTCCACCTCTTCCTCCCTGTTTTCCTTTTCTACCGGTGAGGTCATAATGGCAGTGTTTCCTCTAGAGTCATGTCATCACAGCAGGTCTCACTCTCTTTCATTCACACATTACCTCCATTCGTCCATCTATTCATCTTCCTCCTTCATTCGCAATACTTTCACTCATTCATCTCTTTTCAGTCTCTCAATCTGTGTTTCTTTCTCTCTATAATTCACTCTATAGAGAGAAAGGGGGAGTTCTTGCTGATTCTTCAAGAACACACTTCATCTTTTTACCTCCAATTCTTTTTGGCTCTTCCCTTTTTTGTGCTCTCTGTCCTTTCATTTGCCCTTATCCTCTTGTTTTTTTTTTCTTTCTTCTTAACATGCTTTAACCCCATTTCCCTCTCTCTCGCATTCTGTAGTTGTTCTTTATGCTAAACTGAGCATATTTAAGTAGAGTGACTTAATAGTCTGTGACTCTGGGGTTTAGATTTGGTAATATAAACTCTAAGGATGACTGAGAAAAGAGGATGAGTCTTTTAAAGAGACAGAGACTTACACAAATTCTGCAGGGAGAACCAGGACTATGCTCCATTTAGAAAAGAACTGAAAATGTATCTAAATTCCTGAAATTGAATTAAATTGAGATGGCAAACAGGATGCAGAGTTGTAATTCGAATTTAAGGAAGTAGAACTGAAACAGAATGAAATTCAAATGAATTCACCATATGGGGTATTTAAATTTATTCAAAACATGGTAGTCATCCATTTTGATTAATTATGTATTTCTTAATATGCAAGGAATAAATTTTTTCTCAAAAGAATAGATGTATTTCTCTAAGCGCAATATAATCAAAACAATTACAGCCATCTAAACTTTAATTTTACTTTATTTTCTTTCATTTTAAAATAAAGCAACACTGTAACACAGTTCAT